GTGGCCTGGGCCCCACTGGCCTCTTGCCCCTCCCAGATAGGCCGTTACCGCTGGGTTTCGAGGGGTACATCCCCAACGGGGGTGCTGAGATGGTGGGGATCCGGAGAGGTATGGAGATGGGAATAGGGGTCGGCGAAACGAGGCACACATAGAATGAAATCAAAAATAGACGACAACAACAACAACAACAACAACAACAACAACAACAACAACAACAACAACAACAACAACAACAACAGCAACAGCAACAGCAACAGCAACAACAACAACAACAACAACAACAACAACAACAACAACAACCACAACCACAACCACAACCACAACCACAAACATTACCACAACCACAACCACAACCACAACAACAACGACAACAACAAAAACCACAACAACCACAACAACAACAAAAACAACAACAACAACCAACAACAACAACAACAACGACGACGACGACAACAACAACAACAACAACAACAACAACAACAACAACAACAACAACAACAACAACAACAACAACAACAACAACAACAACAACAACAACAACAACAACAACAACAACAACAACAACAACAACAACAACAACAACAACAACAACAACAACAACAACAACAACAACAACAACAACAACAACAACAACAACAACAAACAACAACAACAACAACAACAACAACAACAACAACAACAACAACAACAACAACAACAACAGCAGCAGCAGCAGCAGCAGCAGCAGGAACAACAACAACAACAACAACAACAACAACAACAACCACAACGACGACGACGGCAGCAGCAGCAGCAGCAACAGCAGCAGCAGCAGCAAAAAAAAAGACGGAAACTCTTGGCGCTCCGCGCGGATCTCTTGCATCTGCGCTGACCCCCCTCCCTGGCGCGCGGAGCGCGCAAGGGGCGGCGCCGGAGGGGCAGACGGTTCATCTCTGAAGCGCCCCCAGAGGGCCCAAAGACGGCCTTTTAAAGGGTCCCAAGATGGCTTCCGACTCAGATAAGCCAAGAACGCTGCAAGACGGCCAAAGAGGCCCCGAAGAAGCCCCCAAAGGCCCCTAGGAATGACCCAAGAAGCTCCCAAGATATCTTCTCCTTCTCCTCTTCCTCCTCCTCCACCTACTCCTCCTCCTCCTCCTTCTCTTCCTCCTCCTTCTCCTCCTCCTCCTCCGCCTCCTCCTCCTCCTCCTCCTTCTCTTCCTCCTCCTCCTCCTCCTCCTCCTCCCTCTTTCTCCCTCTCCGCATTCTCCTCTTCCTCCCCCACGTGTTCCCCAAAGGGCGTCCACAACGGCTGGGGGAACACATGGTCCAATAGCTTGGCCAAACTTTGCCCAAGCGTTTGGCCACATAAGCATATCCTGCAAGGCGGGGGGGGGGTGATTCGCCGTTGGCGTCTTCGATCCACGGCCCAATGTGGCTTGCGGTGCGAGAAGTGCTGTTTGTTGGGTCGTCTTGGTTCTTCTACAAAGGTTCGGGTAGGATCTGGGCGACTCATGCCAGCCCTGCGGGAAACAACAAGGTTCCCATCGGCTTACCGCCCCGTAATGACCCATAAACGTCCCAGGTCGTCGCCCTTCCCACTCCAAGCGGTCCCAAGATGGCCTCCAAGACGGCCAAGATGGTCTCCGAGACGGCTACGATGGCCCCAAGATGGCACCAAGATGCATCCAAGACTGACCGAGATGCCCTCAAAATGGCCCAAGATGGTTTCCAGACCGTCTAAGACGGCCCAAGAGGCCTCCCAGACGGCCCAAGAGGCCTCCGAGAGGACCTCCAGGAAGGCCCGAAGAGACCAAAATCATTCAGTTCCCTGAGGTGTTTGAAGGATTACTTATAGCGTTTGCGTCGTTTCGGCCTTCTGACGGCCCAAGACGGCCCCAGAGGTCATCAAGATGGCCCCAAGAGCGCCCAAGAGGCCTCCGAGGATGGCCCCCTGACGGCCCAAGAGGCCCCCAAGATGGCCCCAAGAGAGCCCCAAGACGCCCCAGGAGACATCCAGGACGCCCAATATTGTCTCCAGGACGGCCCTGAAGCGCCCCAAGAGGGCCACAAGTCGGCCCAGAGAGGCCCCCAAGACGCCGTCCGACGGCGTCAGACCAGTTCCTGCCCTCAGACGGCCAAAGAACCTCCCAGGAACCAAGGACAAGGCCCCCAAGCGACCCAGGGAGGTCCCCAGGACGCCTTCAAGAGGCCACCAAAAAGCTCTTGGGAGGCCCCAAAAGTGCCCCAAGAGGCTTCCAAGGATGCCTCCTCCTCCTCCTCCTCCTCCTCCTCCTCCTCCTCCTCCTCCTCCTCCTCTTCTTTCTCCCCCACGCGGTGTTCCCCGAGGGGTTTGCGCAGCGGCTGGGGGAACACATGGGCCACTAGCTTGGCCGAGCTCTGGCCGCAACGTTCGGCCACATAGGATCTTCCAAAAGGCAAGGCGCGGTGGTGATTCGCCGTAGGCTTCTTCGATCCGCCGCCCTTTCGTTGCTTGCCACAGGTGTGCATGCCGTGCTGGACTTTGAGTGGGTTTGGTCCTTCGTAAATCGGGGATGGACAGACCCCCCTTTAGTAAAACGTGGCTTCGTGAAAACGACCTGAGGCCCAAACCTGGCGGGCAAAAAACCTGGAAAATAACGGCCACGGCGCCCTCTCGATAACCGAAAACGGACAATTCACTAATCGACGTGTCACTGTTGGGGGTTCTGTCCACCCCCGATCCCAATGGGGCCTGGGCCGATCGCGCCGGCACACCATGAGGATCCGTAAACTTCCCAAGTCGTCGGTCTTCCCGCTCCAAGGCGGAGGAGAAGATTGAAGGGGCCCCAGGACACACAAATAAATACACACAAATAAAAATATTCTCCATATTTTCCTATATTTTCTGGGTTTCTGTCGTCCCCCCCACTTCCCATATTTTCCCATATTTTCTAGGGAATCGAAGATGACTTGTGTCTGTGTGCTTCTTTTCCTCCTGAAAGGATCCGTAAACTCACCAGGTCGTCGGTCTTCCCGCTCTAAGGCGGAGGAGAAGACGGCTGAAGACGGCTTCCAGCATCCATCCAATAAGGCTAAGATGGCCCCCAGAGAGCTCCAGATGGCCGCCAGATGTCTCCAAGGCGGCCCAAGATGCACTCAAAGATGGCCCAAGATGGCCCCAGGGTAGCCCAAGACGGTCCGAGAGGCCCAAAGAGGCCTCCGAGAGAACCTCCAAGAAGCCCGAAGAGATCTCTCCCTCTTCTTCTTTCTCCCCCATGTGCTCCTCGAAGTCCACAACGGCTGAGGGAATACATGATCCGATAGCTTGGCCGAGCACTGGCGAGTCTTCGATACTTTTGCCCCTTCCGAAAAAGCTCCCAGAGGCCTCCAGCCCAACCCGCCGGCCACCCCGAAACCAGCAGATAGCACTGGGAAATGTGCCTACCGACGGCTTTCACGCCCGAGATGGCCCGATGGCCTCACCACGGCATGGATCTCGACTGTACCAATACCGCTGCTCCACGGACCTTTCCCAGGGCACGCTCCGCTCGGGATTCCAGAGCGCATCCAGCCGTGGCGACGATGGGCCTCCTGGGAGGCCCCGAAAGGCGAAGACGGTCAGCGGGATCGGTGCGTCCTCAACCCAGATGTCCTCACAGCGCCCGGCAGCAAGCCGAGAGGCACCGCGGCGAGGGCGCAGAAGGGGATGCGCGCCATCTCAACCCACGGACCATGCCGGTATCGCATGCCAGCCGAGGCGACCGAGGCGGTCGAGGCGGCTAGCAGAACCGTCGCGCTCGAGCCCAGGACGTCACAGACGTACAATTCCTCCCTCCTCCAACTCGCAGCAGAGTAAGCGAAGATGGGTGAGAACCACGCCTCCCCCCCATTCCTCCACCTCCGCCGCAGCCTGATCACTTCAGGTCAATGCCGTGCTAGCTAAGCGAATTGCGGACTCCTCCTCACCCAAAGCAGGTGAGGCGATGTTGAGCCTCTCTTCACTTCGAAGCAGCTTGTGCGTGCGAGAAGAGGATATGTGCATATCAGGGAGGAGGTGTCCATATGTTGGATTGCACACATGCACACACAGTTTAGAAGCTGCAGACTCCTACCCTTCGTTAGGCTGCTGGCTTCACTGTTGATTGCCGCACTTGGCCTACGCAAGCCACACATGCCAATGTGTGGTGCGTTCGACTTCGAATGCAGCCGTAGCCGAGTATCCAGGACGTCCCGTAAAATGATGCATGTTGCAATGCCGCTCAGTCCTGACAGATCCTTGTACCTAATCCGCTGTGCAATCCAAAATCCCCTCCTCCTTCTCCGCCTCAACAGCCTCATCTGCCACGAGAAATACAAGACAGCTCGCCGCTTGGGCCCCACCGACAGCCCAAACGGGCCTAGCCCCGTACACACTGTGACGGCCAAACACTGTGAGCCACGCTGGCCTGGTCCGCCCCCTCCTCCTGCTTCTCCTCCGCTGCTGTCCCCGTCCAGTGAAGGACAAGGAGGTAGGTCCTTTAGGAAAGGTCCCTGAGCTGCGTTTGCACTCTGCACCCTTCTGGGGCCCCTCTTCCCTCAGGGTCTCTCTCCTTCATGTCAACTCCTCCTCACAGCTCGTCCCAGGCAAGCCCTCTCGAAGGATCCCACGAGCGGATCAAAATTCCTATCATCTGGCATGGGGGCACGGGCCCAGAAGTAGAGGTAACATCTTCCCAGGGCAAAGCTTCATCCTGAATACTGATGGTGCTGCCCCAGGGTCAAGGAACGGACGCGGGAGGCCGAAACCGGCGAGACAATCGGCGGTGGACAAACCTCCCTTTAGTAAACCTCCCCTTAATGAAAACTGCCTGGGGCCGAAACCGACGGACCTGGACCCGCAAAAATGACGGCCGCGACGCCCTCTCGCGAACCGAAAACGGCCAATTCCTTAATCGACGTGTCAGGGTAGGAGGTCTGTCCACCCCCGAGACAATCAGGACTCCGCTCCCCCAGGATCCCAAGCCTGAAGCTGCCGCGATTATGTTGGTTGCGGCAGGGCCCCACTGACTACTGCCCTGACACGTGGCGCTCGCCCAGCGCGCGTGCACGACACCCGACACCTCGACAACGCTGGCACGCTTTTTCGGCCTGCTGCGCCTTCCCTCACAGTGCTCGTCGTGAGGATCGGGGACCAGACGCGCTGCAAAGAGATGAATCCCCGCTCAGCTCTCGTCGAAGGGCGGCCCCACCGCGCGTTCGTCGAGGCTGACATCCCCAGTGGCCAACGTAGAGCGCAGCCTGCCCGAAACGCAGGCGGCGGGGACGAGGGGCACCAGGACAGGGCGGCGAGGGGGCGCGACGGGAATGCTTGCGAGCGACGGAACCACGCATGACAGCGGGCAGGGGGGAGACTATGACGCGAGCAGCGCGCGGGAAAGACGGGAGGCTCCAGCATGATCACGCAGCATTCGAAGGACCTCCGATGTGTTGCTACCACCCCACTGGTGTTGAGTTCGGTCCTCGTTTTGAATCCGCAGCGCGCGCGCACCTCCTCCATCTCCTCCTCCTCCTCCTCCTCCTCCTCCTCCTCCTCCTCCTCCTCCTCCTCCTCCTCCTCCTCCTCCTCCTCTCCTCCTCCTCCTCCTCCTCCTCCTCCTCCTCCTCCTCCTCCTCCTCCTCCTCCTCCTCCTCCTCCTCCTCCTCCTCCTCCTCCTCCCTCCTCCATCCTCCGCATGTCAGTTTCGGCACACCCCGCACACGCTGCGTGGCCCCATAGGGAGCTGCCTGGATGGTTGATCAGCGAGGGTAGAGCTTGGATTTCCCCGCGGATCAGTTGGACCACGCACCGCAGGCAGTTCTGCTCGCCTCTGCGCGCCTGGTCCGCCGCCCCCCATCCGCGCTGCCCTGGGCTCCACCCCAGATCGCCGCGCTGCATTGGACTGGGTCTTCGCCAGGCTATGTTCGCTCACGGCGTGGGCCTGGGAGCTCTTCGCACGCCTCTCCTCCTTCTCCTCCTCCTCCTCCTCCTCCTCCTCCTCCTCCTCCTCCTCCTCCTCCTGCTCCTCCTCCTCATCCTCCTCCTCCTCCTGCTCCTCATCCTCCTCCTCCTCCTCCTCCTCCTGCTCCTCCTCCTCCTGGCGGACCTGGGCGTGTCGCCTCAGACTTCCTCACCGCATATGACACTGGAGCTTGAAAGTTGCAACAACTTCGAGGATGGCGGGCGTGTTGCTTTCCAAAAAAAATGATCCTGGCGAAGGTCCCAACCATATTCAGCCTGTTGAACATCTGCTCCGTGAATCTCTGCTTGATGCTTATTGCTTATTGCTTATTGCTTTATCTGACCATATCTGCGAACCAGGAGGAGAAGCAACCATTATCCTGGCGAAGGTCCATCCTGGCGAACCATATGCAGTTGTGAGTACCGTGACTGTGAATAGCTGCTTCGGTGAAGCTCCCTATGGGGCCACGAAGCGCTGCACTGGGCGGGGGGGAACGATGTGCTGTGTGGGTGGTGTGCCGAATTGGGCTTCTGGGACGCATGCGGACGGTCCCACTGAGGGCTTCGGTGGAACTCCCTATGGGGCGACGAAGCGCTCTACTGAGTGAGCGAAAATGCCAAATTGGGTTTCCGGGACGCATGCGGACGGTCCCACTGGGGGCTTCGGTGGAGCTCCCTATGGGGCCACGAAACGCTGCAATGCGCGGGCGAAAATGCCAAGTTACATTTCCCGGACGCATACGGGGGCACTGGGGCCTTGAGTGGAGCCCCCGATGGGGCCACGAAACCCTGTACTGGGTGGGTGGAAATGCCAAATTCGGCTTCCGGGACGCATGCAGACGGGGGCACTGGGGCCTTCGGTGGAGCTCCCTATGGGGCCACGAAACGCTGTACTGGGTGTGCGGGACGCATGCGGACGGTAGCGCTGGGACCTTCGGTGGGGCCCTCTATGGGGCCACGAAACGCTGTACTGGGTGGGTGAAACGCAGGGAAGAAGGGGAGGAGGGCCACGAAACGCTGTACTGGGTGTGCGGGACGCATGCGGACGGTAGCACTGGGTCCTTCGGTGGAGCTCCCTATGGGGCCACGAGACGCTGTACTGGGTGTGCGGGACGCATGCGGAAGGTAGCACTGGGACCTTCGGTGGCGCTCCCTATGGGGCCACGAAACGCTGTACTGGGCGTGCGGGACGCATGCGGACGGTAGTACTGGGACCTTCGGTGGGGCTCCCTCCCCATGGGGCCACGAAACCCTGTACTGGGTAGGTGAAACGCAGGGAGGAGGGGGGGGAGGGCCACGAAACGCTGTACTGGGTGTGCGGGACGCGTGCGGACGGTAGCACTGGGACCTTCGGTGGAGCTCCCGATGGGGCCACGAAACGCTGTACTGGGTGTGCGGGACGCATGCGGACGGTAGCACTGTGACCTTCGGTGGGGCTCCCTATGGGACCACAAAACGCTGTACTGGGTGTGCGGGACGCATGCGGACGGTAGCACTGGGACCTTCGGTGGGGCTCCCTATGGGGCCACGAAACGCTGTGCTGGGTGGGTGCAACGCAGGGAGGAGGGGGAGGAGGGCCACGAAACGCTGTACTGGGTGTGCGGGACGCATGCGGACCGTGGAGGAGGAGGGGGAAGAGGGGGAGAGGAGAACGCGGGGACCGTCTCTTCAAAACGAGGACCCAACACCACGGAATGATTGGGAATGAAATAGCATCGCCTTAGCGCCGCGCATGTTCGTCGTTTGCAACCGTTTCACGAATGGAGTGCGGGTGGTTTTCAAAATGTGGTTCTCGCCTTAGCGCCGCTCACATTCCTCTTAAACGGTTGCATCAATTGCAAGAGACAAATGCCCGAGGACGTGCCAAACCCGTCTGCGACAAGTGCTGTCATCACCAGGCCCATCCAAAACGAATGAGGCTATGACATTGCATGCGACGCTTGACTCAAATCTGCACAGGGAAGCCTGCGCGTCGCGCGCCCCATGGGACCGATGTGAGGCAACGTCGGGGGATCCGCCGCCGTGCCCTTGGGCGCGGAGTGGGCTTATCCTCAGGTCCTTTGCATGATCCTCTGAGCCTCATTCCTCACTCCTGGGGATTTTCTCTAAGGAGCCCAGAGCCCCAATTGCCAAATATACCGGGGCTACCCGCGGCTTGTCGGGAATCTGGCACGTCCTGTCACATGATTTTGCTGGGCCCAAGAGGGCCTCCAGACGAGCCAAGAGGGCCCCAAGAGGCCCCCAAGACGGCCCAAGAGAGCCCCGAGTCGCCGAAAGATCGTTTCAAGACACCCACGATGACCTCAAGATGGCCAAAGAGGCCTCCGAGACGCCCCAAGAGGCCTCCAACAGGCCTACCATGAGGGCCCCAAGAGGCAAACATCAGTGATGTTGTGTATGTGTTTGAAAGATTTGGGCGTTCTCGCCCTTTCTGTTTTCCGATGCTTCAAGACGGCCGAAGAGACCCACAAGACCACCCCAAGAAGGCCTAAGAGGCGTCCTAGAGGATCCCAAGATGGCGTTAGAGCGCCCCGGGACGGCCCAAAAGGCGCACAAGACGGCCCAACCCCAAGACACTCCCAGAAGGGGCCCAAGGAGGGAACACGAACCGACAAATCCGAGCCTTCCGCCCCAAGAGGCCCCCAGGAGGCCGCAAGAGGCGCCTAAGAGGCCCACAGGCGGCCCCCACGAGGACCCCAAGAGGCCCCCTGAGGCCCACAAGAGGCCCCAAAGAGGCCCAAAGAGGCCCGAAAACGAAGGCCATTAGACCTGCTTGGCACGGGGACGGAAAGCGCACTTACTTTCAGAGCGCACGAGATCGCTGGCTCGTCCGCTCTTACACCTCTTATTGACTCCCTTCCCCTCGCTCTTGTCCTATCTCAGCCTCGGAGGGTCGCGGAGCTTTCTTTGAGCGCGTTTCTTGTTTTGGAGGGGGCGGTCGGGTCGCGTTGCGTTTTCCGCGTTTGGGCTGCCAGCTTTCCAGAACCCCGCGTTTTCCTTGCGTGGACCGCTCGTTGTCCACGCGTTGCCGCCCGTCCCTGTGCCCTGGCGTCAAGAACTTATTACGCCGCAGCTCTCTATTGGGAGCTTTGGTCTTATCAGCTCGATTACGTCACCGCTCGCTCTTGGGAGCCGCGGTGCTAAGAGCCTTTGGGAGTATTTTGGGCCTCTTGGGGGGCTCTTGGGGAGCCTTTTGGGTGCCTCCTGGGGACCTTTTGGGGCTTTTCGGGGGCCTCTTGGGGCCTCCTGGGAGCTTCTGGGCTGCGGGGGTGAAGGGACTAGGCTGCCTTTGGCCGTCTTTGGGCTCTCTTGGGGGCCTCTTGGGGCCTTCTTGGGGCCGTCCTGGGGCCGTCTTGGGCCGTCTTGGCGCCTCTTGGGCCGTCTTGGCGCCCTCTTGGGCCGTTTTTGGGCCCTCTTGGGGCCTCTTGGGCCTTCTTGGGGCGCTCTTAGGGGCCTCTTGGACAGTCTTGGGCGCCTCTTGGCCCGTCTTGGCGCCCTCTTGGGCTATTTTGGGGGCCTCTTGGAAACATCTTGGGCCGTCTTGGGGCGGTCTTGGGGGCCTCTTGGACCGTCTTCAACGCCATGAAAGGCGAAAAGCCGTATATGCTAAAAATGCACGTTTTCCTTCAGAAAATCAATGATTTTGGCCTCTTGGGGCCCTCTTGGGACGCCTCGTGGGCGCCTCCTGGGGCGTCGTGGAGGCCTCTTGGGACGTCTTGGGGCCGCCTTGGGCGGTCTTGGGCTCTCTTGGAGCGCTCTTGGGCCGTCTTGGGCGCTTCTTGGGCCGTCTTGGGCCGTCTTGGGCGCCGTCTTGGCCGCTTCTTGGGCTGTCTTCGGCGCCTAAGACGGCCCAAGAAGCGCCCAAGAGGCGTTTTCCGATGATGTCTCGAGCGAAACGCTGTTTTCAAGCCCCGAAGGCCGTCCTACTCGATAAAAAACGAAGCGGGAGGGCAATTAGATCCGGGGCTGGCGATGCCACCCCCCTCGAACTCCCCCAAATCCAATTTCTTCCGACTAACGGACCGCACGCTAACGCGCGCTTTCCGTCATCCGCCGCCCCCTGTCGATTCATCGCAGGGGTGCCTGGCGTGCTGGACCTCTCGGTTTTGGTTTTGGTTTTTTTTCCAAAAGAACTCTCCCAATGGATTTCGGCCCGTCCCGCCGGGGTCCCGGGAGGATTGCCCAGGAGCACAAACTCCACGAAAAATCCTCCCTGAAACGGCCGTTTCGATGCCTCCAAGACGGCCCAATATGCACCCAAGACGGCCTAAGATGGCCTCAAGATGGCCCATGACGGCCCAAGAGGCCCCCAGGTGGCCTCCAAGACGGCCCAAAAGGCGTCCAGGAGGTCTTCCAGGAGGGCACGAAGAGGCCAAAAGCATTGTTGTCCTACGGTTTTCAAAAAAAGATGGTGGCATTTGCTTCTTCTCGGCATTCCGACGGCTCAAGACGGCGCAAGAGGCCCCCAAGATCGCCCAAGAGGCCTCCAAGATGGCCCCATGACGGCCCAACAGGCCCCCAAGACGGCCCCAAGAGGGTCCCAAAACGGCCCCAGAGGCCTCCAATACGCCCAAGATGGCCTCTAAGAACCCCTGATATGCCCCAAGAGGGCCCCAAGACGACCCAGACAAGCCCCCAAGTCGGCTTCCGACGGCGTCAGACAAGCCAGGAACGCCCGAAGACGGCCCAAAGAGGCCCCCAAGGAGCCCCCAAAGGCCCCCAAAAAACCCTCCAAGAGGTCCCCAGGAAAGCTCCCAGGAGGCCCCAGGAGTGCCCCAAGAGGCGCCCAAGAGGCCTCCTCCTCCTCATCCTCCGCCTCCTCCTCCTCCTCCTCCTCCTCCTCCTCCTCCTCCTCCTCCTCCTCCTCCCAAGTAGGAGGAAGCTGGATGTTACAAGGCACCAGATCCCGAGCTGTCGCCTTGGCAAGGTTGCCCGCAAGTATGCTCCACTGAAACTCCGTGTGGTTTTTCCCATGGGCTGTGGTGGCGTTGTGCCTGAGGGTGACGAGGTGCCAAACCAACCCTGGCAAATGCAGCAGGGGCCTGATCCGACGGAGGGGGCTGCCCACCTCGGGGCGAACACATACTGTCCAAGGAATAACCACTGACGGCCTGATACAGGGCAGTTGTTTTTAATGCATGGGATTTTAAGCATGTCGGAGTTTCAATAAATGATCCATGTATGAATGAATTCATGCATGAACTCATCGTTGTTTTTTGACACTGAATCCCTGCATGTTTAATACATGATCCGCACGCGGAACATGTATTAAAAACGGCACTGTGCTCGTCAAACGGAGAAGTGAGCAAACTCCTGCCCATATGAGGGCAAGCAGTTCAAGGGTCCTGCTGGTCGCTCTGTCGGCCTGGAGGCCCATATCGTTAGTATAGCCAAGGCGGCTTCTCCACCAACCCCAATACGAGCGAGTGAGTGCCCTCCCCAGCGGCAACAACCACGAACGCCCACGCACCCTTCAGATGGTTCCTAAGGTAGTGCGACCCATCCGTGTAGATGTGGAACGCCTCTGGCACAATGGCTCGTGGAGGGGCTAAGGTGTGAGCTATGCGGAGCTCCTCCTCAAGGATCTGGGCAGCACTCAACGAGTAATCATCTATGATCTCAAGAAATGGAGGTGGGGAGCTGGCCAGAGCAACAAGCAAAGTCGGCGGCGCAGCAAAGAGGCATGTTAACTGTTTCTGTTCAACTGGCGAGTGCTCAACCGCTTGCGACGCATGTCGATGCGAGAGACGATGGGCAGCGCCTTTCCGATGTGCTCGCAGAGCCAGCTAAATGGGGGGGGGCTCAACAGGGGTTGGTCTGCCTCGCCTGGGCTCTAGTGGGTTCCAAGGGGCCGCAGGTCTCAACCGACGACGACGGGAGGGTAGAATCTGAGGAGCCCTGGGGGTCCGACTCCACCAACGAATTCCCCCCTGCTTGCTTGAGGGATCCTGGTTCGTCGAATTCGTCCAGGCGACCGCCGTGGATCGCATCGTTTGCCTCAAAAACCGAACGTGAGAAATCCCCCAGTGCACACTCTTTTTACCCCGCTTCCGCTTGGGAGGGGGGAGGGCCTGGTCTCTCGGACCTGAAGTTGATTCCCCGCCGTAATTCGAAGGGGCAACTAGAGTCCACGAGGCGGTGGCTACTAAAGTTGATCTCACCAACTGGCTAGCAAGAAGAGGCAAGGAAGTAAGTACTAGCGAGATCCTTGTACCCAAGACTCTCGCGGGTGAAAAACGGGGCCAGAGGCGGGAGCTGGACAACCGGGCTCAAGTCACGCGCGCCTCCCGAGTCGATCTCTGGCCGGCTTGACGAGGTGGTAGTCGCTGATCATCCTCATCCTGCTTCTCCTCCTCCTCCTCCTCCTCCGGTTCCTCTAAAATCCTCTCCCTCTTGGGGTACGACGGCTTCCTCAGCCCTGGATGGGCTGGTGGGGTTACGCGAAGCGTCATAGCATTGGCAGACTCCAGGAAGACCGCACGATGGTGGATCTCTCACGAGCCCACGAGGAGTTGCGATAGTTGCGCAGTGGGCAGCCCGCAGGAAGGCGAAACTGCACTCCGCCGGACCCAAAACTTCTCACGAGAGTGGCGAAAGCTGACAGTCCTGGGGACGAGGGTAGCCATTCGGATCTGGGTAGAGCTGCGCCCCGCTGGACCAACCACGAACTTAGGAAAGTGGCGAATGTTGAGCAGTTGCCGGCACCCAGGGAGGCGAGGACTACTATGGATTATACTAGGACGCGAGCTCAAGAAAGCGGCGACTGATGCTGACTTGGCGGCCCCCAAGAAGGCGAGGGTACTCGTGTGGATCCCAGCAGGGCCGCACTCCATTGGACCTCCCAGGAGCTGACGAAAGAGCAAAAGACTGCGCAATCTGGCAGCACCCAGGGATCAAGCATGGCAAGTAAGAGGAACCGGGCAGTGAGGAGACAGACAGACAGACAGGACAGACAGACAGACAGACAGACAGACAGGACAGACAGGACAGACAGACAGACAGACAGGCAGGCAGGCAGGCCGACAGACAGGCAGGCAGTCAGGCAGGCCGACCGACAGACAGACAGACAGACAGACAGACAGACAGACAGACAAACACACAGACAGACACACAGACAGACAGACAGAGAGACAGACAGAGAGACAGACAGACGCAGACAATGACACTGACACAGACACAGAGACAGAGACAGAGACAGAGACAGAGAGAAGCGAACAGAGAACAGAGAACGAGGCACTGACTGACAAGCAGCAAGCGAGAGAGAGAGAGAGAAGCGAAAAGGCGGCATCAGCAACACGGCTTCCAATCTAAACGAAGACGCAGCCCAAGCAAGGCTATGATGATCCGTACTCAAGACAAGCCGGCCTCGAATTCTACGGCTCTGCGAAGACGAGCGCCGCGAGCAGGTTCGCGGCGCAGACAGTGGCCGAGAAGGCGTTCCCTGCCAGATCGCCCAGTACCTGCCAGCGAGGGGTTCCTGGACGTGCCAGGGGGCCTCCAGCGGATTCAATCCTCGAACCTCGGTGCTTGATCCTCCTCCTCCTCCTCCTCCTCCTCCTCCTCCTCCTCTCCTCCTCCTTTTTCCTCCCCTCCTCCTTCCTCCTCCTCCTCCTCCTCCTCCTCCTCGTCCTCTTCCTCCTCCTCCTCCTCCTCACGCAAGAAGGCCGCCCAAATGGGGCAGAAGATCGCACCGCATCGCCGATGCTTGGCCGATGCATCGGTGAAGCCGACATGGACCATCGCGCCACATCGCCTCTCCCAGGAATCGGCGACCTGGCGCGATCCTCCGACCCGATCTGCGCCATCCAGCCCGTTCAGGCAACCCGTCTCTGGAGGTTTCTGGGCGCACCCGGGGGCCTCCAGAGGATTCGATTCTCGAACCTCGATGATTGATCCTCCTCCTCCTCCTCCTCCTCCTCCTCCTCCTCCTCATCATCATCATCATCATCATCACCACCACCACCACCACCACCACCATCATCATCATCATCATCAGAAAGAGCGTGTTCTACCGCTGCTGGCGGAAAACCGGGGGGGGTCACTACCGGTTCGAACCCCTCCCCCCCCCCCCCCTTAAAAAACCGGGGGGGGGTCACTACCGGTTCGAACCCCTCCCCCCCACCCCTCTGGAAAACCGGGGGGGGGGTCACTACAGGTTCGAACCCCTCCCCTCCCCCCGAAAACCGAGTGGGGGTGCGGACAGTGGTGGGGACGGTGTTGGTGGGGACAGTGGTGAGGGGACAGCGGGACAGTGGTGGGGACAGTGGGGGGACAGTGGGACAGTGGTGGGGACGGCAGTGGTGGGGACAGTGGTGGGGACAATGGTGGGAACAGGGGGACAGTGGACAGTGGTGGGGACGGTGGTGGTGGGGACAGTGGTGGTGAGGACAGTGGGAATGAGGTGGAAACAGTGGGATAGTGGAGGGTACAATGGTGGTGGGGACAGTGGTAAAGGCGGTGGCGAGGACGGCGGTGGGACAATGAGACAGAGGTACAGTGGGGACAGTGGTGGGGACAGTGGGGACAGTGGTGGGAACAGTGGGACAGCTCAGTGGGACAGCGGAGGAGTCAGTGGGACAGTGGGGACTGGGGATAGGCAGTGGTTGGGTCCGTGGAGACAGTGGGGAGAGTGGAACCGTGGTGGGAACAGTGGTGGGTACAGTGGGGACAGTGCGACAGTGGTGGGGGCACTGGTGGGGACAATAGGGACGGTGGTGGAACCAGTGGGGACAGTGGTGGTGAGGACAGTGGTGCTGGGAACAACAGTGGGGGATGTGATGCGAGCGGTGGTAGGGACCGGGAGTCGTTTGCTGGCGGTGCGTGGGGGGGGGGGGGGGGGTCGTAACCGGTAGTGACGCCCCTCGGTTTCGAGAGGTGGGGGCGGGGGTTCCAACGGTAGTGTGGACCCCCCACGGTTTTCGTCGGATCCGGGGGGGGGGGGGGGGGCGGGTTCGAACCGGTAGTGACCCCCCCCTGGTTTTCGAGGGGGAGGGGGGGGGGGAGGGGTTAGGGTTCAGCAGGGGGGGAGGGATTTTCGGAGGGGGGGGGGGACCCCCGGGTTCCGGAGGAAAAGGGCGGCAATTTTCCACAGTAAAGCGGCGGGGGATCACGCTCTCTCTCCATCTCATCATCATCATCTAATCATCATATCATCATCTCATCATCATCTCATCATCATCATCATCATCATCATCATCATCATCATCATCATCATCATCATCATCATCTCTCATCATCATCATCACATCATCATCATCACACGCACACCATCATCATCATCATCATCATCATCATCATCATCATCATCATCATCATCATCTCATCATCATCATCATCAATCATCATCATCAGGCATTCATAATCATCATCATTCATCATCATCATCATCAGCATCATCATCTCATCATCATCCTAATTATCATCATTCATCATCATCATCCTCATCATCCGTATCATCAGCATATCATCATCATCAGCATCATTATCAGCATCATCATCATCATCACCACCACCACCACCATCATCATCATCATCAGTATCATCATCATCAGCATCATCATCATCATCAGCAGCAGCATCATCATCAGCATCATCATCATCATCGTCATCATCATCATCAGCAGCATCATCATCACCATCAGCATCATCACCACCATCATCACCACCACCACAACCACAACCACCACCATCATTATCATCAGCAGCATCAGCATCATCATCAGCATCATCAGCATCAACATCATCATCAACATCATCATCAGCAGCATCATCAGCATCATCAGCAGCAGCATCATCACCATCACCATCATCATCAGCATCATCACCACCACCACCATCATCATCATCATCTTATTATGCTTCATCATCATCAGCAACATCAGCATCATCATCAGCAGCATCATCAGCATCATCATCGTCATCCTCATCCTCATCCTCTCCCTCATCCTCATGCTCTTCCTTCGTGCCTCCCGATCCTGCTGCCCCACGATCCTTGGATACGTCGCCCTCGTCCTGAGACTTGGCTTCTCATCCCCGATCGCTTTGCTGACGGCCCCGAGACGACCTCACGAGGCCCAACCTGGCGAGAAAGCAGCCGCCACCGAGCCCTCGCGACGAGGCGCAGAGGAGAGAGCGCGCCCGTGGTGCACTCCCAAAGGCGGGGGGGGGGGCCTCTCTTACCCACACACCCGCGCCTTGGACCTCCTCTGCTGGAAGCCCCGCCTCTCCCATTTTTTTGCTCCCGCCCAGCAAAAGCTACCCCACCTCCCCTGGCGCTCCTGAAGCTACCCCCCCCCCTTCCTTTCCAAAGGCGGGGGGGCTCCCCTCCCCCCCCACCCCCCTTGTACCTTCCCTGTCGGAGTCCCCTCCCTTCTTTTTTTCCGCCCCTCGGAAGCTACCCGCCCCCCTTTCGCGCTCCGGAAGCTACCCCACCCCACCTCCCCCTTTCCAGGGGGGGAGGGCTAGCTACCCCACCTCTTCTTTGAACCTCCCCTGCCCTAAGCCCCCCCCTCCCTGACTGAATGGCTAGAGGGGGGAGCTTAAAAGCCCCCCTATACCATTTGGCTAAAGAAGGAGCGTCGAAGACTAAAGGGAGCGCCGAAAACCACAGGGTCACCGAAAAGCGAAATGGTGCGAAAACCAACGGCGCGCCGAAAACCACAGGAACGCCCAAAATCGATAGGGCGCCGAAAACCGAAAGTGCGCCGAAAAACCAGAGGGCGCCGAAAACCAAAGGAACGCCGAAAACCAAAAAGCGCCGAAACCCGAAGGGGCGCCGAAAACCGAGAGAGCGCCAAAAGGGGCGCCGAACACCCAAGGGACGCCGAAAACCAAAAGGAGCGACGAAAACCAAACGGGCGCCGAAAACCAACGATGCGCTGAACACGAAAGAGGCGCAGTCAACCAAAAAGGCACCGAAAACGAAAGGGGCGCCGAAAACAACAGAAGCTCCGAAGACGGACAGGGCGCCGAAAACAAAAAGGGCGCCGAAAACCAAAGGGGCGCCGAAAACCAAAAGGGCGCCGAAAACTAAAAATTCGCCAAAAACGACGCTGAAAGACGAACGCACGCTGGCCGAAAACCAAAGAGCGCCGAAAACCAAAAGCACGCCGAAAACTACTAAAGGGGCGCCGATCACCAAAAGGGAAACGAAAAGCAAGAGGGCTCCGAAACCCAAAGGGCGCAAGCACCCAATAGGGCGCCGAAAACCAACGATGCGCTAAAAACCTGAGGGTGCGCAGAAAACCAAAAGTGGCGCCGAAAACCCAAGGAGCCCTGAAAACCACAGGAGCGCCGAAAACAAAAGGAGCGCCGAAAACCAAAGGGCGCCGAAAACCAACGATGTACCGAAAACCAAAGAGACGCCGAAAACCACAAGTACACCGAAAACCAACGGGGCGCCGAAAACCAACGAAGAAAAGTAGCTTCGAAGCCCCCCCGTCAGCCAGGGCCCTCCAGCTGGAAAAGCCTGCAGGGCATGATCTCCGAAAAGCACACTGTCCCTGTGAGGCGATCCCACCGCGAGGGCCAAGCTGTCGAGATTGTCGCCGCCGTTCGAGGCGCTGTCGACCATTCGGCACTCGAGTGCCATGACGATGGCTCGACGGCAAGAGAACAGGGGCGGGGGTCGGAACCAGGCTCTCGGCGGTTCAGTTTCTTCGAGTTACTCGCCATCGCTCGGACGTCCATTCCCTGTGCATTTTTCGGTTTCGTGCGTGTGTTTTTTTTGCTCGATGATCCAGGATGCTCCTCCAGGGTCCTCGCGGAGAACAAATGCACACGTCCGAGCGATGCCAGGGTTATGTCGCCCTGGACCTCTCAAGCATGTCCTTCAGGATCCGACGGCCCGAGGCGGGCACGCGAATGCCCAAATCGAGGAGAGCATCTCACAGCGTCGGCGGCGAAGGATGTCCACAAGCGGAGGGGCTCCCCGTCGAAGCTGCACAAAATTGCACAGTGGGCGGGGGGGCGACCGACCGTGAGAGCCTGGATCGTCATGGGGATACTCGTGCTGACTGGATGTATAAACGTAGGTGATCCTCCTGCTCGTCATGCCTCTGCTGCGTCTTCTCCTTTGTCACCGCCTCATCCGACGCCTCTTCCGTCTCCACTGATCCCCTCCTCATGGTCCCCCATCTTCCCCCTCCCACCCCCTTCCTCCTCCCTCATCATTCCTTCCTGCCTCCTCCACCCGGCCAAATGTATCATTCGTGTCTAAGTATGCCCTCCCTCTCTTCCTCCTCCTCCTCCTCCACCTCCTCCGTTCCTCCTCGTCTTCCTCCTCCTCCGCCTCCGCCTCCGCCTCCGCCTCCGCCTCCTCCTCCTCCTCCTCCTCCTCCTCCTCCTCCTCCTCCCCTGCTCAGACAGCAGGGCCCCGTCAAGGACTCGGAGATGGCCGGGGCACGCCCCGTCGGTTGGAGGCTGACGGGATCGCCGGTGCCGCAAAATAGGCAGGGTATAA